CTAAGGAATAGTTTTCCTTATAGGTATAGGTTCAGGGGGTATGAAGTTAGAAGTGGGAAGGGGGGGGGTCTAAGGAATAGTTTTCCTTATAGGTATAGGTTCAGGGGGTATGAAGTTAGAAGTGGGAAGAATATGCTTAATACAGTGTAGTTGCATGGTTTACAAGGTCAGCAGATAAAGTAGCCTTGAAATATCGAGCAACAGACGGCATCCTCTCATTTTAATCCAAGTTGTAATACTATGTTATCTAAGGGGTCGGAAACATATGGATTAAAGTATTCAATTTTCGGACCTAATCTCACGACCTGTGACAGTTAGCACAAAAGGTCAGCCTGACAACCCCAGAACGTCTAGATATGTCGCGGAAAAGGTGGCAGTGATATCAGAATTTAAAAAGAAGCGAGGAGCACCTGCGTGCACCATTTAGAAAATCTGTCTAAAGCATCTTTAAAAAGCTTATGCGGTTAACATATAAGTTAAAAGTAAGAGTTCTTGACGTTTATTTTGGACTATCCGCTTACATGAAAAGCACATGTCACTTATTGATACCAGCTTGCTGACAGGAAGGAGAAAATTAAATGCGACTAAGATCTGGAACAAAAACGCCAGGCTGTTACTTGCAGATCCCTAGGTTTGGAGACTATTGGTTCTAAGAAAGGGTCATTCGACAGATATTTTAGTAATGAAAGGGCCTCACTCACGCAAATCTAGCTAGAAATATATGGATAAACTACTGGTGATAGCAGTGAAAGGCAGATAGACTTAAAGGCTGATAGGACAGACAGGGCCAAGGAGAAGTGGGGCACTCTTGACTTTTGCAGGCTGCCGAGTGCCGCCACAAGAGCATCAATTGCAAGTTCTTGGGGAGACGGACGTGAAAATATTCAGGCGATAACTGGGTCGTACGAACGCAATAAGGAGTATTCATAAGGATAAAGCCATTATTTTTGAAGAGCAAGTATTGCATACAAGTATCAACCTTAATTTGTTATCGAATTCCTGTGTCCTAGAAACATCGTTTGGTTTTTTTTTATCACAAAGCAGAAATAATTGTCTCATTTCTAGAAATTGGAATTTCAGAGTATAAGAAGGAAGTTTATGACACAATAGTAGAAATGCAATTAAGACGATTGAGATCTTTAAGTTAAATCCCTAGTTAGGCTGTTCCTTATACACTGTGGTATTATTTACAGCATTTACTATAGTATTCCACGATGACAAACACAACGAAAAGCAAAACTAGACCACAAAAGGAAACTGAGGAAAAACATGGACTACCCTACAAGATTGCAAAAACAGTATACATGGATTCCTCCTGGATCTGTATGGTAGGTTCTTATCTGAAATTGAAATTCCACAGCTGGTTTAACCAACATCTGCTATTATTACGTGAGATGTGCTTCTGTAACATTTATTTTTATAGATATGTATAATTTAGGTTTTTAATTGCGTAAAAAACTGAATTACTGGATTTTTCATAAACACTATTTTAACAAATATGACGTAAAACAAATCTCGCCATTTGAAATGCCGACCGAAATAAATAATTAAGCATTTATGTCCAAGTGGTGAATTCTCGTTGCTTTGTTTTTCATCAGGGTATGTTCTTGGAACTATCGGGACCCACGCTGCAGGACCTCAAGTATCGAGTTAGCGCCAACTATGAAGAAGTTTCACGTGCTCTTATAGGACGAAGTATAGGTTATTTCATTGGGGCGTTTTTTGGTGGCTACCTCTGTGACCGCTTCAAACGCTACGTGGATCTCCTCACGGCGTTGGCTTTGCTGGTTGGAACCGTGGGAACGTTTCTAGCGCCCTACAGTAGCAGTGTGGAACTCCTTCTGGCGATGTTCGCACTCCAGGGTCTCGCAGAGGGAACTCTCGCCATAAGTAAGTCACGTGACGAGGCCTGGACATAAACTTTACAAACAGGACAGAGTTCATATTTGAATTAATTATTTTAAATAAATTGTTCACGCGACTGAGTCGTTCTGATTAGTTTACAAAAAGTATTTGGGGAAAGAGAATTTATTACAAACTACGTAACAAATGATTCGCAATTTTCTACCTTTATGAATTTTTAATTTTTCAGTTGGAAATGCCATGTTTATCCGAGTATGGCGAGAAAAGGCATCAGCGCCAATACACTCTTTGCATTTCTCCTATGGCGTTGGTGCCTTCTTCGCTCCGATAATCGCACGCCAGTTTCTTGCACCATCCATTGATGTAACAATTATGCAGAATGCTGAAAATGACACGAACATGGAGGGGCTGCTTCCAACTACAGGAGATATAAATGAGACATTGTTGGCATCATATAGGAATAATTCAACAAATATCACCACTACGGTGACGGCATTCGAGTTGTCGAAGATCGAGTATTCCTATATCATCGTGGCCTGCGTCTCCATCGCCATGCTACTGGTGGCACTGGCGTTCCAGTTCCATGCTTCGTGCGTCGGTCCTAAACCTCAAAGCGAGAAAATCAGTTTTATTGATATATTTTCTCCTGGATCTTGCGCACAGGGAGATAAAGCCTTCGGCTTGGCCGTCTTGGTTCTGATTTTCCTGTTCTATTTCTTTCTTGTCGGTTGTGATCACACAGCCAGTAAACTTTTGTACAGCTATTCTCGTGACACGCCCAATCAGTTCAGCGTCGGGGATGCCACCCTGCTGAACTCTGTCTACTGGGGCTCGTACTCTATAGGGAGAGGATTACCCATATTCTTCGTGGAATGGATCCCAGTTACATACCTCATCATCGGAGAACTGATTGGCAATTTGGCTGCTATAGTCGTCTTATCTATCTTCGCTGCCAGCAACCCCATGGTGCTGTGGGTGTGTGCCTCGGCGTACGGTGCCTTCATGGGGCCCATCTTCGCGTCCATCGTTACCTGGAGTGGGCACTACGTCGAAGTCACTGGAATGGTAATGGCGGTCATCTACGTCGGATCAGCGACAGGTGCGTTCGCTGTCCAGTGGATAGCGGGCTACTTCTTTGAGTACACGGGGCCGCACACTCTGATGTATGTGTTATTGGTGTGCAGTGTGGCCTACGCTGGTGTGTTTGTTGTTGATCTCGGTCCCAGTTTTGTATGGACCAGACTGTGTGTATGTGGAACAACGCAATATTCACATGTTCAATGAACACTGAACTTTATTCAACACCTAACCATTACTACCAATGCATCATGGGAACGGAACACAATGTCAGAGGTCACGGTCTCAACTAACACAATCATCAACATCCCCCCTTCTTTATAAAAGAAAATATGCTCTACAAAGGACAAAGTGAGCTAAGAGGAGATATAACAAGTTCACAATACAAATACTGTTTCCCAATAAAAATATGATCTGTCTGGTGCTCAGATCTAGATCCATACTGATCAAAGTCAATGTAAGTGTAACCAGTCTTTGACAGTCATGTATGGCAATGCATTTCCTTGCATTTCATACAACTCCAGAATAAACAGTTCTCCATTCCACAATAGAAAAGTCTATGAATATAATAGTTTTTTGCAAACAATCTGCCAGTGTTCCTTTTCAGTCGTTGAACACGTAAACATACATTAAACTTTAAGTAACATTGTCCTTTAAAGATTCAAATATCAAACATTTGAATGTAAGTGAACAAGAAAATCACAACTGTTCTGATAATGTCAATGAAAACAATGCACAAATTTGCATACAAGAACAAAGAAATCCAGTGATTCCTGAAACAAATTACAGTCCATGTAAACAGTCCTTAGAAAATGTCTTATCGTGTTTATAGCAATTTCACTTGTAAACTACATAGTGATTCCTGAAACAAATTACAGTCCATGTAAACAGTCCTTAGAAAATGTCTTATCATGTTTACAGCAATTTCACTTGTAAACTACATAGTCCTTAAGATAATTGGGCTTTCTGCACTCACGTTTTGGTCTTATTGTTTGTGAAATTTCTTTTCCAGTTTTAATAGAATCTGCAGTTTCCACAGTTTTTGTTTCAGTCAGTTCATTAGTATTCGCAGTACTGTGGTAATTCTCACACTGTTTTGTAACATTGTCACTTGGAGTATACATAGGATTCTGACAGTCCTGTAGTTTTCCACTAGTTGGAAATTCATTGTTAGTCATACGTGCTGGAGATTTGTCACGAATGTAGGGTTCAATTTTCGTTGGACGAATGTGTATTCTATTCCTTCTATAGGTAGCTCCATCCTGGGCTTTGACCTGGTAACTATGTTCATCACACGTGTCCAATACTTTTCCTAAAATCCATTGTTGATTTTGTTTTTGTTCAAAGTATACATTTTGCCCTATTTTGAGCTTGGGCAGGTCACGCGCACTCTTATCATGGTATTTCTTCACAGATTTATTTCTTTTGTTGATCTTTTCTAACACCTGAGGATCTTTGCTTTTCTTAGCAACTGACGGTAAGAATGTACGTCCTGGCTTTCCAAACACCATCTGGTATNATTAGCAAAAGTTACTAAGGGTTGAATTTAAAAAAAAAAAGATCACAAAAACGTAATTCTACTGCCTTTAATGCATTACTGCATATTATGACTTTGTGTTACTTTCTTTTTCGATGAAATTCGACACCCCTGTACATGTAAATATTACATACAGGTTATATATATATAACATGCTTTAAAATTAGAAGAAAAGCAATAAGTACACACAAATTAACCCGTTTTCTAAAGTTTTTCAACTACTGGAGCACTAAATAAACCCACCATAATTGTATGATGGTTAGCATAAAAATGTTGTAGGTGCGCAGTAGTTCGGTTGTGCTTTCAAAGAAACACATTGCAGTTTGCTTTGCACAAAGAAGTCGCGGTCACGGAGCGTCTTGAAGCGCACCTGTCGGTCTCTTTTGTTGTCGGCCACATGACACAAACAACATTGACGATGATGGCGTTACGCGTTGATGCACCAGCTCCAGAGTTCAGATAACGACACATTAAATTAAAATGGATGACACCACTTATAATTTACAAGATGGATACGGTTCGTCGGACGGTGAGACTACTTCGAATTCATTTTTAGCGGATGAGCGAGGTCCTGGAGATCGCGTCGAAGCCAGTGAGTCCACCGGCAGTGCAGGCAGCGGTGGCGACTCGGAGCAAGAAATCGAAATGATTCTCAGACCTCGGAACGTGCGGGCTCGCTCCAAAGAAAGACACATGTTTGATGACGATGACGATAGTTCTACAGACTCGGAAGAAGAGGAAGAAAACAGGCGAGCGATGAGGGAGCAAGATTCGGACAGTAGCAGCTCGAGCACAGAGTCAGAGAACACACAAATGTAGGTATCGTTTTGAAACTCATTGAAGTGCGTGTGTTTCCTTAATCGATTTCGTTTGTGGAATTCAATATGAGTTAAAAGCCCACTCGAAAAGAAAATCAATGTTTTCTTGTTCTCTAACTTGGGAAAATAAGTTTATGCCTAAATTGCCAATAAATGTGATTGTAATTACATTTGAACAATATGAGCAACCGCTGGTATTATTATTTGTATTGTGGAATCAGTCAAATGCTTATTAAACCCTCAGTTGTGTCAGCCTCAAATAGGATTCTTTGTTTTCAAGCATGGGCATTTTGCCAGACTAATACATAATGAAGTACTAACTAAATTAATTTAATAAAAGTTTGTATTTGTATTCTAGCAAAAGTAGGATATATATATTGTCAGTGGGATGATTGAAGCACCTTATTCCAACTTGCTACATGTTTGTGCCCCCCCCCCCCCTCCTCTGGCTTAGCTACTTGATTTGATACAGTTAATTTGTCCTTTTTTTATTGTGGAAGGCCCACTTTAGATGGTACCATCAGATTACGATTAATGCATGTATTAGCACCATGTTGGTTTGTTTGCCCATTTGAATATTTGCACAATTTTGATAAAGTTTTCTTCAAGTGTTCTATAACAAAGAACAATTCAGTTTACTGTAATATGGAAATTTGAGGTCAGATACAGATTTTCATAATTTGATCAAAAGAAGTGGATTTTCTGTTACTAGTCTAGTACTTCCCTGTAACAGGTATTTAAAGATGTTAATTGAATTTATGTAACTGTATAATACCAGTATTTACCTTGTCACCGTAATGTCTTTAAGTTATATTTTTGATTGTCCATCACCCTATATCTCCATAAAGCTGATCAGGTTCAGTGGTCACAGATGTCATTGATCTGACACTTTAAAGTGATGTATATTTGAACAGGTTCAGCCAGTCTGACAGAGTCTGATACACAACAAGCCTTTCATGTCCTCTGACCAGAGTCTGGGCTTTGAAATTGTGTACAGAATGATAAGTAAACTCATGAGCAGTACTTTTCTTTATTTCTACTCCTCTCAGTGTTTGTCCCCCTTGCAATGCAGTGTTTGATCAGTTTGATTTGATTACTTCAAATCGATTTGAATTTAGAGCACTAGTGAAATTGTGATAACTTAACATTGAAGGTTGGCTCTAAAACTGGAACACTTGATGAGTCTGTCTATAATTGAGATTTGAATGCCACTCAGAAACTTCAAAAGAAGCCATATGTCACTACAGCACCAGGTTAAATACATGGATGTTATAAAGCATTTTTTTCTTTGAAGGTAGATGTTTTTTTATGAATCCATAATTGTATGTTATTGACTTTCAGGGTAATGACTTTTTTGTGACTGAATAAAGGTAATGCACTTTGTTGACCTACAGACTCAGACAGATATAGGAAACCCCATACCCTAAAACTTCTTAATTATCTCATTTTCTCACATAGTGGCTGGGTTGAAGTGACTGAGTTTATGGCGTAATGGTAGACTTACAGGGAAAAGAAACACCATGGCTGCCAAGTATTGAATACTGAGCACTGACCTAGAGGATGGCGTTTTTGTGTGCCAATAAAGAAATATTTAACTAGAAAACAAACTGTCCTGTTAATATTTTAAGTAATAAGATAAATTTCACTATTGACTGTAGAATACCTGTAAAAGTCTAAAAGAACAGATTTTCAGAATTTCTATCACTTACAACTGATAGTTGTTATTATTATTATTTTTTATATATATATATATATATATATATATATATATATATATATATATATATATATATATATATATATATATATATATATATTTTTTTTTTTTTGCATTGCCAGGTTGTGTTATATAAATTATGAAGTCTGTAATCATGTAAGCCACCATATTATCAGATATCATCACGGAAGGAAATGTTTGTGATGGTTTGTGGTTAATGAGTCATTTTCATTTTTTAGAAGTACCTGTCATTCAAGTTTTTAATGGGAACATATAAACACCAAATGTACAGTATTTATTGGCATATATTACCTGGCCATGCATTTTGTAAATAGGCCTCAGTTTTATCACTGGGGTGTGTGTAATATCCCCCAAACACTGGTATGTAAGGCTATGGCAAGTTAACCAACTGATATATGGGATAGGCCACTGTCAATCCACACAGTAGTATAGCCACATAATAACTGCTTGATTCATAAATTCTAACATTGCATAATATGCTGCAAGTAAGGTGTAAGTGTGGAAACTTGGGCTCATTTAACTGTCAGGATCAGCCTAATTCCAGATGATTTGTGGCCCACTTTCCTTTTACCTGGCCAATTTTCATTATCAGAACCATATGGCACACAGGGCTGGGCTATGTGAAGAAGACCCTATATCTGGGCCTTGTAAACTTAATTTATAGAGCATAGACAGAGACCGCCAGTCCTTGCACTGCCTGTGAATGTTAAAAAATGATGTTATACACTTTGATGTACTCATGTCAGTGAATTTATATTTGGAATACATTGCTATGGCTTATAAATAAAATATTGTTAAGTGTTTTCAATTTTTATTTCCAAATCATGAAGGTGTATTTACAATTTGCAAGCCCTCGCTGGTTTATTCACCAGTTTTGAAAATTGGGACTTGCAATGGCAGAGAATTTGATTTAAGAGAGGCTCCATTGAACCTCTGTCAGTGAATTGTATGGGGTTCAGGAGAGTAGTCATTTCATAAATTAGACCCAATACTGCTCCAAAGTGTTCCTTGTGTGAGCAGACTATTAGTAGTTGTAGAAATATCTACAAGCTACAGGGTTGCAACAACTGCTTTCTGTTTTTAGTGCTCTGCCCTTTACAAATTGCAGTGCACATTTGCCACTATATTTTTTAGCAAATTAAAATCAATTGCCTATCCTCTTCACTCTATTTCATAGTTGGCATGTTATGTCATAATGGATTGTATTTTATGAAGTGACATGTGCCCTTTTGAGATGACGGTGCTTGTTGGAGTTTTACACACTTATTTTACGATGCAGCACAGTAGCAAATATTATGAAAATGTATAACGTAAATGATGGCACATGCAAGACACAGGACTTTGAGTGTTGGCCTGTGGTAGCATAACTGCAGGCTAGTACCTGATAATCCCTTTCCTGCTAATTAAAAAATTGCATGCATGCCAAATTGCAAAAGTATACAGCAATTGTCAGTGCAGCGATATCATTGCAGACAAAACTTGAGTTACTAAAACATATGCTGCTTGTATGGAAAAAGCAGATGAAATCTTGCACTTGTGGATTAGTTTTTTTCCTATTGTAGATATTGCGTCAAATGAAAAGGTATTTGTTCAGGTGTGAAATGTAATATATATATATATGTACTAGTAGAGAGAGGTGACGATCCAAAGACAAATTCATAAAAATGCAATTAGGAATTCTGTTGACAATTATTTTGATTTCCTTCTCTTCATTCCAAATGCATATTTTGTATTATAGTTTTGTGTGATGGGATATGAAACGAATATTTGTAAACTTCATTATGTCCATTTTGATTTCGTAGAATTCATTAGGTCCAAGCTATTCATAATTTAAGTTTACTGTTTTACTGTGGTTCAGGAATACCATTTATATTCTGACCATTATTTATTTGTTTTTGTTTGTTTCAATCTTTCAGATGGGTACCAGCGAGGAACAGCACTACTCTGAAAGTCTCACGCTCAAAAGACCAAATATGGCTGCCAAGCAGCGTTTCCAATACCAGCATGCCCTCCTTGCCTAATGGCGGGACGTCAGTCCGTAACAGTATGGTCAGTCAGAGCACCACAGGAAGGGTGGAAACGTCGCTTGTCATAGATCCTGAACCCTGTGGAAATGGAGATTCAGGTAAAATGGAATATGTATCATTTGGAATGCATTTGTAGTAACCTTAATAAAATGTAATTTACAGTTTTCTCCAGTTAAGGAGTCAAGTGGACACATATTACAGATGTGTGGTCACTAAATGGAATAATTTGGTAAGAAAGAGATTGTCGTTTATATGGCATTAAGCTCCCTTTTTAATATAATGGATTTCTGGCTCTGGTTTCTCATAGATTCTTTGTGGTGTGGAATTTTTTGGAAAAAGAAAGCCAGGTATAATTTTGTTTTTCTCGAAAAATTTCGTAAAGGAATGACATTTTGTTTTTGTGAACTCTTAACAGAGTCATTATTTTTCACATACATGGCAACATCTAACTCAATGTGCATACATGCTCCAAGTTAATTTGGATTTCAGCTGAAAATTGATGATTTTCCCTGAAAAAAATAAATAATAGATAAACTATGGACTGGATTATCATTACTCAGTCTAAATGCCATGTTTTTTGGTGACATGTAACTAACTGTGATGCATCATTATACATGTGTTAAGTAGACAGTAGAACATTAGGCAGTCTGTAACATGGGTGTAGACATGGCTTTCCCATCATGATATGACACAGGGATTTGTGATAGGTTTTGTGTCTTGTTTCCCTACTGGTTTAGAGCATTTTTGATTTTAATCGAAAATTTCCTAATTTATATATATATACTGTATGCTGTGGTGGTGTGTACAATCTTGACTTAAATGACATGTTTTGTTGGAAGGTAAGAAAGAGGGGGTGATTGAGGAGTGGGTGGGGTAAGTGGAGGATGGCACAGGCTATGGCAATAGCACCTTTTAATTTGCATGACTTTGGGCTTAAACACTTGTGATAGAGGATAGAGATAAAGTCAAAACTTTCTACCAAATGCAAAAGCAAAATTAGATTAAGAATCTCTTGTCTTTTTGTAGATAGCTTTTAGAGTTGCTGTTTTATTACCATGACAGATAAATACTACGTCAGGGGACAGTTGTTCTCTTTTGAATACTCATGGGTGTTATGAAATACATGTTCAATTGATCTGACTTGTAAATAAAAATCTATAATAGTAATTGAATGTACAATTACTGGTGTGGGGCAGGATCAGGTAGGAGTATGTAGAAATTTGCAGACATTGGCATTGAGGCTTTGGGCTGATGATGCTGAGAACCAACTCAGACTTTTACATATATTCAGTCAAGGTGGGCAAAGCATGGCTTTATCATAGCCTTGCCCTTAAATAATAATTTAAAAAAAAAAAAAAAAAAAAAAAAAAAACATCCAGTGAAAATTTTTTGATGTTTGAAATGGATTGGATTGATTGTTATGTTTGGAAATTTAGGAAAGTAAAGTGATGAGAATGTCCACAGTTTTACTGCTGTTCCTCTGTGATGCCACAGTGATTTTCTTTCTGAACTCTCAAAAATGGATTTTAGTGCTTGATTAAGTGCACTAAGAAAGCCCATACATTGTTGTTTGTTCGTATATATATATCTTGTTCATTANATATATATATATGTACTAGTAGAGAGAGGTGACGATACAAAGACAAATTCATAAAAATGCAATTAGGAATTCTGTTGACAATTATTTTGATTTCCTTCTCTTCATTCTAAATGCATATTTCGTATTATAGTTTTATGTGATGGGATATGAAATGAATATTCGTAAACCTCATTTCATCCATGCTGATTTAGTATTATTCATTAGGTCCAAGCTATTCATAATTTCAGTTTATTGTTTACTGTGGGTCAGGAATACCATTTATATACTGACATGCATTTATATGTTGTTTTTGTTTTTTTTCAATCTTTCAGATGGGTACCAGCTAGGAACAGTACTACTCTGAAAGTCTCACGCTCAAAAGACCAAATATGGCTACCGAGCAGCGTTTCCAATACCAGCATGCCCTCCTTGCCTAATGGCGGCACATCAGTCCGTAACAGTATGGTCAGTCAGAGCACCACAGGAAGGGTGGAAACGTCGCTTGTCATTGATCCTGAACCCTGTGGAAATGGAGATTCAGGTAAAATGGAATATGTATCATTTGGAATGCATTTGTAGTAACCTTAATAAAATGTAATTTACAGTTTTATCCAGTTAAGGAGTCAAGTGGACACATATTACAGATGTGTGGTCACTAAATGGAATAATTTGGTAAGAAAGAGATTGTCGTTTATATGGCATTAAGCTCCTTTTTTAATGTAATGGATTTCTGGCTCTGGTTTCTCATAGAATCTTTGTGGTTTGGAATTTTTTGGAAAAAGAGAGCCAGGTATAATTTTGTTTTTTCGAAATTTCGAAAGGAATGACATTTTGTTTTTGTGAACTCTTAATAGAGTCATTATTTTTCACATACATGGTAACATCTAACTCGGTGTGCCTACATGCTCCAAGTTAATTTGGATTTCAGCTGAAAATTGATGATTTTCCCTGAAAAAAATAAATAATAGATAAACTATGGACTGGATTATCATTACTCAGTCTAAATGCCATGTTTTTTGGTGACATGTAACTAACTGTGATGCATCATTATACATGTGTGAAGTAGACAGTAGAACATTAGGCAGTCTGTAACATGGGTGTCGACATGGATTTCCCATCATGATATGACACAGGGATATGTAATAGTTTTTTGTGTGTCTTGTTTGGCTACTGGTTTAGAGCGTTTTTGATTTTAATTGAAAATTTCCTCATTTATATACTGTATGCTGCGGTGGTGTGTGCAATCTTGACTTAAATGACATAATGTTTTGTTGGAAGGTAAGAAAGAGGGAGTGATTGAGGAGTGGATGGGGTGAATGGAGGATGGAACAGGCAATGACAAAGGCCTTTTAATTTGCATGCCTTTGGGCTTAAACACTTCTGAAAGAGGATAGAGATAGAGTCAATATTTTCTACCAAATCCAAAAGAAAAATTGGATTAAGAATATCTTGTCTTTTTTGTAGACAGCTTTTAGAACTGCTGTTTTGTTACCATGGCAGATAAATACTATGTCAGGGGACAGTTGTTCTCTTTTGATTACTCATGGGTGTTATGAAATACATGTTTAATTGATCTGACTTGTAAATAAAAATCTATAATAGTAATTGAATGTATAATTACTGATGTGGGGTAGGATCAGGTAGGAGTAGGTAGAAACTTGCAGACATTGGCATTGATGCTTTGGGCTGATGATGTTGAGAACTCAGCATAACATATTCATTCAAGTCATGGCTTTATCATAGCCTTACCCTAAAAAAAAAAAAAAAAAAAAAAAAAAAAAAAATTCAGTGAAATTTCTTGATGTTTAAAGTGGATTAGATTGATTATGTTTGGAAATTTAGGAAAGTAAGGTGATGAGAATGTCCATAGTTTTACTGCTGTTCCTCTGTCTATGATGAACTCTCAAAGATGGATTTTAGTACTTGATTAAGTGCACTAAGAAAGACCATACATAGATTGTTGTATGTTTGTATATCTTTTTCATTTCTAAGAGCTTTTAGCCTTATTAGCAAAATGCTTAAAATATTAATAGCAAGATCTTTAATGGAAAGAAAATGACAACAACCTTTTTTGTTATCACTGAGCATTTGTTTGGTATCTGTTTATTCCAAATGCATTGTCATAAATAAGCATTTCTTTTTCTTTTCTTGTTTCTGCTGGTTATTAAATTTTGAAAATTTTGTAAACAGTTTATATGATAACATGAATGGGGATAGATTTTCATTCTGATGTTATTTCACCCTTCTTTTCTTCTGTGTGTATACACTCAAGATTTCAAGAAAGACTAATCTGCCAGTTAATGTAGAATATAATACCCATTTATCTTATTAATCTTATGACTCTTGGACTAATCAAAGCAGCAGTAATGGGCATCAAAAAGTGATGATCTTTTATCCATAAATTGGTCATGCATATGGCATAAGAGCAGTGATAATAGAAGAGGAAGAAGGAAGTGTATTAAATGTATTTTATGTATGGAATTTGAGCTTAGTTGGAACAACTTTTCAAATTATCTGTACTTGAATGCAGATATTGCCACTTTTGTTTTAGCTTAACTATTCATTATGGAATTCCAAGGTTAATGAACGGATAATTTATTGGGTCAATGTTAATCATTTTTTATATTTCTACAGCTTTGGGTTTCCATAATTTGCTAATTATGCAAGCAGAAAAGCTAAAACAATCCCCTTTTTTATAGTACTTTAGATGAGATGGCAATGTAAACAGTAAAAAATAATTAAAAATGATTTTACTAAGAGATCAAAAATATACAATTTGACAGATGATGCTCCTTTCTTTAAATGCTCTATGATAATAAAGGAATAATTTTTTTGAATCACTCAATACCCTGTGGGAAAAACATTGTAAATGTCCACCTGTCCAGGCATGCCTTGATCCTTGACACTGGTCAATAAATTGTCCAGAGAACCAATGGACTCTTTGTCCACCTGGTGGTCACCATGTGTGGCTGATTATGACCATCTGTCAGCATTTTCTTTAGCCATGCTCACTCCAGCTTGTGACAGTAGTATAAGAATTGATATCAATAATACCAATTGTTATAGGTCATAGAGGCTGATTGTGAGTGGCTTTGTAGAGGAAAGATCAAGTGAAGGTGTAGCTGAACTTTTATGTTTAATGTGAAGAAATTAAATGCTATATATACTTGTAATAGGATTATCCTAATCAATCTAATTCTTTTTATTTTTGGTAATGATTCTTATACAGTTTTAGTAAACTGGAGCCCCTTGTTACTATGACGCCTTTGATAGACCTTAAAAATGTACTCAGACAGGTGACATTTTTTTTTTCAAATTGTAATTCTCCTTGTGACTCCAGGGCCAGAAAAAAAGGGAGACATCTTATAGTCAGAGCATCCTGCAGCAGTGAGAGTTGTTCTAGGTGCCTGGTATGTAAAGGTTATGTTAGGACAAAGAGTTCCATCATGCCTTATGAGCTTGTCAAACCTGGCAGAATTGTTCATGTAAAGAACAGTCTTTCCATGAGTGCTATAAAAATGCCAACAAAAGTTGCCCAATGAGGCAGAGAAACTAATATGGCATTGCTTTGTACGCCTTGACTCCAATTTCGCTCGGTCTGGCAAAGAATACATAAAGGTGCGAGGATTGTTTAGAGGAAAGAAAGGCCACTCTGTTAGTATGGCAGATAGGACACAGCCAATCCCTTCAAAAATGAATTGTTATCTTTTAAATGAATTCCATTTTTGTGTGAATAGCTCCCTATGCTGGTAATTTACCTGATATTAGACTATAAAAGGTATGAAAATAGTCCAATTGAGCTGGAGACTTGGGACATTTAAGTTAAATGGTAATCAGGTGGGAATGATACTATTAAAATGTCAAAGTAAAAGAGTATGAATGCCCTGGCCTCCTGTTTATCAGTTTACCTGTTTATAGTGGAGGCATGGAGAAACCAAACAGAGAATACCATTGATCATGAAGTACATGTAGATGAATAATGATAGGGCGAACTGAGTTTTTATGATTGTGGATATAAACCTAGTTAAATTTTTATGCAATCTTTATTTGCCTGCCATGCTGACACTGTCTCTTTAATATTCGCTTAATGCTAATGTGGTCTGGGGAAAGGATAATAATGAAATGCGTTTCTAGTTGATTTGGGTCAGCCCAACTTTGTTATGACTGCAGAGATGATCTTAGCTGGCCATTTGATTACAATTAACTCACCACAGGGAGTAAATCTAATCATATTTTTACACCATCATAGTTGTTGAAGTAACTCTTATGCCATACTGTTTGTTTGTTTGTTTGTTTGTTTGTTTGTTTTTGGTAAGCTAGTAAGGGTAAGGTTAGTCCCAAAAGGGAGCCCTGTATGAATTTTTATGTAAGTGATATATGCAAATACATTTGATAATTTTTATTAACAACTTATTTTACCACAGATGCAGAGAATATAGTGAATATATTATATAGACATAATATATCATTGATACTCTATTTCATTAAAAAATGTTCCAGAGACCCTTGCATTGCAGAATTTTTTACATCAAAGCTTCCTCTTGAACTTGGTACAAGACCCTACTGAGAACAAATTATACTTCTCTGTTTACCTGCAGTGAAGGGAATTCACAGTTAATTTGTTTTCCTATAAAACTTTATTAATACTTCATGGACCCATAGAGCTTCAGGGGGAAAACATAAGGAAAATCTGTCCCAGGAGACCCGAGTAGTTTTTTCTTGGTGTGATTTTATTGGATTTTCTGACCGGGTCACTCTGGTCATTTGGCTGTGTTCACAAAGCAAGACCAAAGAATGAAAAAAGGACTAAATTGTGTTATTTGATATCACCACATGACCAGCTAAATGTTATCTTACTCTTGCATGAAGGATATTAGCCAAATGCCATGTTACTTAATTAAGTCATTCCAATTTGCTGCACTTGCATGGTGAATATAAACCATTAACTCTACTTAAGTCATGATTCATATTTGACTCTATAATATTCAGTATAGTTTGTGTAAGATTTAAAGCTGATTTAGTTCAACATTTTGATTTGCTATATAAAAGTTATCCACACATTTGGCTGAGGTATTTGTGTCATGTAGTGTTACTTTGGTAGCAGCAGAGTCAGTATTAGGATTATCCCCTGCATATTAATAATATGGGATGAAAATGCATAGTTTAGTTTTTAGTTTTTCAATCCAAGTTAGTCCATAGTATGAACTCAGCTGACGTCTTACTGTCCCTGCAGCACTCTGCTCTACTGATGATGCTGTCAGTTTAAGTTGTCTGTGAAATTAAGAATTATTCCTATAGGAGCCATTGTGATTAGTATTTTAAATGAACTAAGTACTGTACTAGTGATCCCCAACAAAATTCTCATAGTAAAGCTATAATCTTTGCATTTCAGCATCTAGTAGAGTAGAACTGTTTGTTCCCATATGTGTAAAAACATTTAGAATAATTTACACTACAATTAGGTCAGAATACCTGAATATGGTATATCTTAATATGCCTTATTGATTTTTGTTGTTTTATGCCATTTTTCCAAGTGTGAACAAAAAACAAAACAAAATGGAAGGAATTATGATATTTTCCAGAAAACACTGGCTGTTATCACAGTCGAAATTTAAATGCTATTTCTTTGCTCTCAGCAACTTTGAGGACAGGCAGTATATACCACACAACCCC